GGTTTATGCGGCAGCTAAGGCTGTGGATGCAGCGATGGTTGAGTACGACTCTGATGATAATATGCTGATTGTTGAGAAGAAAAAAATTGAATCAATTCCTGCTCTAGAACATAGTTCCATTGATTACGAGCCGTTCAATAAGGATTTCTACGAGGAGAAAGCTTCAATATCAGGTCATTTTTTGTTGGAAGTTATGCTTCAGTTTTATTTATGAAGTTGGTTATATTTCAGTATTGCTTTTTCCTTGGCTGATCTGACTGCCTCTGATCATGTTGTGCATCATGGTAATTAATTTATCTTCTTAACTTCTTTAAATCATTGCTGGTTAAATCGAAGCTAAAGTGGACCGAACTGTATGATGTATCGGTCTGGTGACCACGATTTTTTTTCCTCTCATGGAAAGAGTTAAATATTTGCTAAGATATGCAACCTTCATTGCATCACTTTTGTTTTTTGGCCTTTCCAATTTAGTTACAGCAATAAATGGGCTTCCCAATTAAACGAGTTCCATTTCTAATGAAATTTGTGGATTTTTGTGTTTATCTTGTTGCTTACCCTTTTTATTGTTGTTGTTTTATACGTCCGATTACATCTTCACTTAATTCTTTATTCTTGCCTTCCCCTGCTTGCGGTCTCCTAGAATAAAGATACTGAGTTTTTGGAGAATCTAAATGATTAATTCAGGTTCTAAATTTTTTGAGTATTTCCTTTGCTGCTTCATCTATAGGAATGAGTGAGGAGGAAGTTTCTGAGTACCGGAAGAATTTGGCTATTCGTGTGTCGGGTTTTGACGTTCCTAGGCCAATTAAAACATTTGAAGACTCTGGATTTTCCCCTCAACTTATGAATGCTATAAAAAAGCAAGGGTACGAGAAACCTACTTCTATACAGTGCCAAGCTATGCCGATTGTGCTTTCCGGGAGAGATATCATTGGAATAGCAAAAACGGGTTCCGGTAAGACTGCTGCTTTTGTTCTTCCAATGATTGTTCATATTATGGATCAACCTGAACTTGAAAAAGAAGAGGGTCCTATTGGAGTGATATGTGCCCCCACCAGAGAACTCGCTCACCAAATATACCTCGAGTGTAAAAAATTTTCAAAAGTACATGGGCTACGTGTCTCTGCAGTATATGGTGGGATGTCTAAATTTGATCAGATAAAAGAACTCAAAGCTGGATGCGAGATAGTTGTTGCCACTCCCGGCAGACTGATAGATATGATAAAAATGAAAGCCTTGACAATGTCAAAAGCCACATACTTGGTACTTGATGAAGCCGATAGAATGTTTGACCTTGGATTTGAACCCCAAATTCGCTCCATTGTTGGTCAGATTCGGCCAGACCGTCAAACCTTACTCTTTTCTGCAACAATGCCTCGTAAGGTTGAAAAGTTAGCTCGAGAAATTCTCACCGATCCTGTACGAGTTACGGTTGGAGAGGTTGGGATGGCTAATGAAGATATCACACAGGTTGTTCATGTACTTCCTTCTGATCTGGAGAAGTTGCCTTGGCTTCTTGAGAAGTTACCTGAAATGATTGATGATGGGGATGTATTGGTGTTTGCTTCTAAAAAAGCCACAGTGGATGAGATTGAATCTCAACTCCTACAGAAAGGTTTTAAGGTTGCAGCTCTTCATGGTGACAAAGATCAGGCATCACGAATGGAAACTCTGCAAAAGTTTAAATCTGGTGTTTATCATGCTCTTATTGCAACTGATGTTGCTGCCCGTGGGCTTGACATTAAGTCGATCAAGTCCGTTGTTAACTTTGATATTGCAAAGGACATGGACATGCATGTTCATCGTATTGGTAGAACAGGTCGTGCTGGTGACAGGGATGGGAAAGCACACACCCTTATAACTCAGAAAGAGGCTCGCTTTGCTGGTGAATTAGTCAATAGTTTGATTGCTGCTGGCCAGAATGTTTCAATGGAACTGATGGATCTGGCCATGAAGGTAATTTTTCATTATATGCATGTTATTAGGTTCACAGTAAGCTAAGGACCTATGGAACTATGCTTATACCTTTTTTCCTCGCCCATTTGTTCGGTTGAAATCAGTTTTTCTTCTAATTTTCTTTCACGTAAATTATGTGACTCACATCTCACCTTTATAGTGGCTGCAGAAACGTTTAGAAGATACTCCGATTTGTTGCTATTGAAACTTAATGTTCTTAAAAAACTGACCTTTGGGAAATGAATAGCGTCAATCTTTGTGGCTATGGATTTCAATGTGTATGACTGATGATATTGATTGATGGGAAATTGTTTTCTCCCAAATTGTTGGTTTTGTGGCAGGCTAGTGTGCGCGATTTTGTGGGGTCTTCAGAGTTAGAGAAATAATGATTCTTTAGGGGGTGGGATAGGTCGACTAGCGATCTTTTGTCCATTGTTAAATCCTATATTTCTCTTTGTGCTTTTGTGAGAAGGCCTTTTTGTAATTACCTTCTTGGTGTCATTTTACTTTATTGGAGCCTTTTTTAGAGTTTGACTTCCGTTTGTGGGTTTATTTCTGTATGTTCGTGTGTTTGTTCATTTTTTCTCATTGAAAGTTTGGTTATCCATATAAAAATAAAAAGAAAATGCCTTCTTAGGTCTTGATATATTCTTTGTAATATTCTGTTATTTTTTATTGCTAGCAATTGGGGTTACCTCATGTATGTTTTTGGGAGCTTTCTATGATCTTGAGCATGTATTTGTATATATTCTAGCATTGCTTATTATTGTTCTTTCATTAAGCTTTCCCCCACTCCATTTTTTCCCTGCTTATGAGGCGTAGTTGTTTGAGAAAGTTGCTAGTATGATTTTTTGCTGAACCATTTGCCTCTGAAATCATTATAGGATGGGCGATTCAGGTCGAAGCGTGATGCAAGGAAAAAAGGAGGTATTATTCAACATCTGGCTATATTTTATCTTTCGAGCTGTGAATTATCAACTTAGTGATAAAGTTTACCATTTATGTATTTATACGATACAATGTTGTCTTTGTAGGTGGTGGCGGTGGCGGTGGCGGGAAGAAGGGTAAAGGGAGAGGTGGCGGCAATGGTCGAGGCGTGCGTGGAGTGGATTTTGGTCTAGGAATTGGTTATAACCCAGAAAGCAGTGGTAGTAATCCTTCAACAAACAATGTTCAAAGTCGATCTGCAGCTGTGAATTCTCTGAGGACAGGAATGATGGCACAATTTAAGAGCAGTTTCGTCGCTGCTTCATCAGCTCCTCCAAGTCAGGGTTCGAATAGCAGCTATAGTATGCCAGCAAACAAACGACCAACATTAGCTGGCTTTGTATCAGGTGGCTCGATCGGTGGGGGTGCGAACCGCCCTCCACCTCCTCCGCCAAGAGCAAACTCATATGTTCCAAATGCTGGAGAATTCTCAAGCCAAAAGAACTCAGAAAGGTTGTTAAATCTTTCCTCTTTTGTGTTTGTTGGAACCTTTAGTACTACGAATACTTTTATGAGTATCCTAATTTGGTGCCTCATATGATCTGATTGCAGTTCTGGCGACAGGTCCAAGGAAAGGAGGAGGCCCTCTGGTTGGGACAGATGACTACTAGAATTGGAAGAAAGATAAAAACTCAGTAGTGTTGAGAGAAAACTGTATCAGGTTTCATACACTCTCTCTTTCTCTCTTTGTTTTGTTTAAATTCGTTTTCACCAATGTATGATTTTAGCTCTTATGAGATTGTAGAAGTTGTCTGATATAAAATCATTACCTCTCTCATTTTCCCTCTTAATATTAATCTTTGCCTCTCTACTTCAAAGATCAATCGCCATTGGGGACTTATTATGATAGACTATATAATATCGGGTTGTATGGTCATTCCATTGAATTTCAGTGGGACTTCCGCCAATCCCATCAAGAAAGACTTTAGAACTTGCACCTTTTCCCTGTTCCCAAAATTAAGACAATCCATCTTTATATCACAATTATCTTAACATGGGAATGAGCAAGTGACCAGATGAGTGTGAGTTTTGTAAATTTTCCTGATTTAGTTGGGTTTCCTTTGTACGAACTTTTATATATATATATACACACACACACAAGTGATTAGATGTGGAGGATGAATGAACTGAGTTTGATCTGCAGATCGGTGTTTTTCTATGGATTGCCATTTCAAGTGTTGCTCCCATCGGCCTTCTTTTGTCAGGATATAGATCCAATAAGGTGGTCTACGAGCTACTGCTCAATTAATTAGTTATGAAATACCGTTAACTCTATGTGTATTATCAATATCTCTATGTGTGATTCGTTGAGACGTAAATTTCTCTTCTTTTCTTTTTTTTTTCTCTTTGAGAAAAGGGGTGACCAATCGGTTAACAGCCGACCGCTCTACCACTGAGCTATTGAGGAACAACGGTAAATTAGGTTTCATAGAATTCAATTTCCGTTCTCAACCAATGACCAATTTGATGAGCTTGATTGAAACCATAGAATCCAAATACTAATTTTCGGAAAGCCTATAACTCCAATACTTGAGTATTTAAGTGTGAAACAAGACTTTAGAACGCTATAAGATATTGAATGACAAAAGATTTGACTTAATATGGAGATGAGAACCTACAAATAGGTTACTCACGAGTATTTTTATACTCATTCATGTTACTCTTATTTTTCTAATGAAACTCGATATTCGCAGTCAAGACGAGTGTTTGGACGAACTGTGAGACTATAGGAGCTGCAATAGATTTGTCTCGTGGTTTTTTTTTTTTTTTTTGTTAATAATTATTATGTCTCTTTAGTAAACTTTTATTGGATTATATTTAAGGTTATTTGATGAAATTGATTGAAATTATTGAATCGTTTTTCATTTCCTGTCAATAGCCATAATATCTAGAACATAAATGTCAAAGTACTTGACATATTGTTAACGAAGATGTTGAGAGGACATCATACGTTAACTATTACAAAACTAGAGAAAGCTTTGAAGTCTAACATCATTCTAGTTCGACAACTACGAAAGCTTTGAGGAAGCTTCCAAGTCAAACAAACATGTAAAGTTCTAAAATAGAGGAAGCTTCAATGTCCAACCTTCCTGATCAATGAAAGAAATACTCGTAAAGTGTCTAATCTCATCTATACTAAGATTTTGAAGCCAAGACACACGCTTCGAAGTGTCTGCTCCTGGTCCAACACAACGTGTTTCTGCATAAGTCAAACTCGCCCTACAAAATTCACATCACATAACAATTTAGAGTTAATGTCTCGTCTCGAGAAGCGAAGAACAGGAAGAAAAAGAGGCTTACTCATGGCCAACTTGTTCCCAAGGATCCCAACCAGCAGGGTTAATACAAGCTGATAGGAAAGATGAATAGTAAATAACTGTGGAGAAAGGTCTGTAAGCCCTCCCAAGATAGACAGTCCCACTTCCAATCACTGAGCATCCAATGAATACAAACCCATTGGTTTGACTTGAGTCTTCCTTCCCTTGAGCTGTTATGTAACCATGTCCTATCACTGGAGCATATAGGTCGACTGGTATATTTATCTCACAGTTCTGCAGTAAACAACACGACCACCATAATCACTACTCCAAACCAATTCAATGTCGAACTTAAGGTGTAATGCACGTATTGTTGAATGGCTCGAATTGTTATGTAATGAGATTAATCCAAGTACGCGTAAATGAAAAAAATTTCAAACCAATTGAATACTTGTGAGATCCTACGTCGGTTGGAGTGGGGAATGAAACATTCTTTATAAGGGTGTGGAAACCTCTTTCCAGCGGATGTGTTTTAAAACCATGAGATTGACGATAGTACGTAACGAGTCAAAGTGGATAATATTTACTAACGATAGTACGTAACGAGTCAAAGTGGATAATATTTACTAACGGCGGGCTTAGACTATTACAAACGGTATCAAAGCCAGGTTACCAAATAATGTGAGGCACTAGTTGGAGTAGAGATAGACCTTTTCTATAGTAGAAGCATTTTAAAACCGTGAGGCTGACGACAATACGTAAGGGGTCAAAACGTACAATATCTATTAGCGGTGAACTTGAGCTGTTACAAATAGTGTCAGAGCCAAACACTGGACGGTGTGCTAACAAAGACGCTGGGCCTCCAAAGGAGATGGACTGTAAGATCCTACATCGATTGGATAAGGACAACGAAACATTCCTTATAACAGTGTTTTTATTTTAAAACCGTGATACAGTTTAAAACGTATAAAACATAGTTTAAAGTTAACCTCGTATATAGATTGACCAGCGCCAGATATGACATCGGTTACACCTTCAATGTAGCATTCGGTATAGCGATGGCGACCATTTCCATCCCACAAGGTATCTTGCAGACCAACAAAACCACACTTATGGAAAATCCCTTTATCTCCTTCTATGAGAGCTGCAACCGCTGGTGCTATATCTTCTTGTCTCTTCACACTTCCTGGCGCATTATACGTATTCGCAGAAGTTATTTTAATTTATTAAATTATAACCGTTCAAGCTATCGTTAACAAATATTATCATTTTTTTATTCGGATTAAGAAGAGACGTGTCCACTAGGGAGGAATACACTCTCCAATCGATGTGGGATCTCATAATCCACCTCCCTGAGATCTATCGTCCTCGCTGGCGCATCGTCTGATGTCTAGCTTTAATACTATTTGTAACAACTCAAGCTCATCGCATGAAGAAATAATATCAATACTACCTTGAATGTGATGCCTTTTACTACGAGATTTTCTGCAATAGAAGTGAAGGTGGCACTTGTAGCGGTGGTTGCATGGTCATTCCATCGAATTTCCGTGGAACTTCTACCAGCTCCATCTAGAAAGATGCACGATTTTTCTTCCGAAATATGCACCTTTTCCCTATTATATCACGATGATCTTCTCAAATTGTTCTATCTATAACTTCGATGTATGCCTCGTATCAATAATTTGGAAATATCATAAAAAACGAATGAGTAATTAGCCACACAACACGAACGAAAAATGATAAATGAACGAAACGATATCTTACAAGTATATTCCACTAGAAATTTGAATTCTAATTCATCGGCTATTTTGTGAAGGGATCGAATCAATCGCACTTTGGATTGTTCTGAAATTTCCCGAACCTGATTTGTCAACAACAATAGTATATGCAACTCTATTAGGATCATTAGGATTCAACTCACAATCTAATGCTTTTGAAACATTGAGACAAAGTAACAACAACAACGTTGTTATTAACAAAATTTGTTCCATATTTCTTGGAACATACAAATCATAAGATATGATTAAGAGATGATGAAATATACGTAAAGTGATATGAAATCCAAGTTATATATCAAATTAAATTTGTTGGCATTTGAATTGTTGAAATGCATAAATTCTAATATGGTAACTTATATAAATGACACCTTAAATACTATATATAGAGAGAGAGGTAACTGGTTAACCATAATATAATTGTTGTCCTGTATTGAAGTACATCTAATCGTGACGAGAGTTTGCTGTTTTGTCAAGTCAACACACATTAAAGTTTACGGTGTAACCTGTCTATATAACCTATATGCTGGACTCTGACCCAACTTTCAAAAACCTTATACAAACTAGGGTTTGTTACCAAATGCATTGTAATGTTCGAGTCATGCAAATATGTAAGTTTTTGTTTAATTTTTTAACTTAAAAAATTTTATCGAAGGCCTTAAAGGTTGAATTTCAAGGAAGTGTAGAAGGAAAGAATGTTTGGGATAGAGCCAGGGACTCGAGAAAAAATAAATTGAAAATAGCGAAAAAACTGAAAAATACCAATGAAAGTCAACCGAGGGGATTTTGCCCCTCTTACTAACTCGAGAAGACCTTGGGCGGACTTGAATTAGGCTTCTCCAGAGAATTTTTAGAGTTTTTGGTGACTTTTCTGCTAAGCAATTGAATTTGGGAAGACACGTGATAGTCATGTAAGTAATCATAGAGATGATGAGAAATTTGTGATTAGTGCTCTGGGTGCTTGATGGATGTTATCGCCGGTTGAGCATGTGTGACTGTATGCATGATTTAATGTACATTAACTCTAGGTGATTGAACGCGTGATCTCACCGTAGAGCGCAAGTAGTAGAAATGGGTTAAGACTAGAGTGTTAAAGTCAGTTTGGCTAGACTATGATCTAGGATGGAATGCCTCTAGTTGTTCGAGCACCTTAGAAACATAAGCGACGGTCAGCAGTCGTTAGTGCTCTCGACCTATCTAGGTTCAAGGAGTCTGAACAGAGAAGCCTAGAGATCATGTTAATCCAAGTCAGAGCTGCCAAACTACCCTAGGGACCTAGGAAACCACCACGACAACCTAGGAAGACAAAGGTAGCCTCTTAAGCCGATAGTAGTTGATACGGTATTTGTGGAGTGTCCATTTCGATATGAGTATCATCGAGCTAGGGACGAGGGCGATTAGATTTGTGTAACCTGATAGTTTAGTTGGATTACCCGAGGTTCATCCTATGAAGAGGCACGGATGCAGATAGTCATTGGAGCTAACGCACACAACCCCTCACACCCCAACTTTGCAAAAGAAATAGTGTCATGACGTTTTCTGAAGTGTTGTAGGGGACGAAGTAAATATCATACAAATTATAGAACTATGTAGCTACTCGATTTATTCATTTGATTCATACCACAAAACAGATCATGCATATGCATAAATGTCCTAACACTTAACATATTAACCGAGAAAATGTTAAGTACACTTCACACATCACTTATTACAACTCGACGATCCAAGTCATTTTAGTTCTAAAACTGAGGAAGCTTCCTAGTCCAACCATCTTGATCAATAAAAGAAATATTGATGAAACGTCTAAGATCATATTTATTAAGATTCTTAATCCAAGACACACGCTTCGAAATGTCTGCTCCTGGTCCAGTGCAACCTGATTCCACATACGTAAAATCCATCCTACAAGATCATATAACAAAATAATTTAGATGCATTAGGTACTTGTTCGAGCATGTCGATCCATCTAACATTAGATACTTGTTCGAGTAAATTTATAAGGAGAAGCGGAGACATACTCATGACCAACTTGTGTCCAAGGATGCCAACCAACAGGGTTAATACAAGATGATAGGAATGATTTATGATAAATAACTGTGGAGAAACGTCTATAAGCCCTCCCAAGATAAACAGTTCCACTTCCAATCACTGAGCATTCAATGAATACAAACCCATTGGTATGGCTTGAAGCTTCCTTTCCTTGAGCTGTTATGTAACCATGTCCTAATATTGGAGCATATACGTTGATTGGTATATTTATCACACACTTCTGCAGTAAATAACACATAAACAAAACTAAATCACAACTCCGAACCAATTCAATCTTTAAACGTGGGTATACCCGATTCGAATCATATCGTATCATCATTAGCGGATACCTTTCGAGGTTCCTCTTAAGGTTTTAAAATACGTCTGTTAGGGAGAGATTTTCATACCCTTAGAAAAATGTTTCGTTCCCCTCTCCAACTAATGTGGGATCTCACTATCCACCCTCTTTGGGAGCCTAGTGTCCTTACTAGCACACCGTTCGGTGATTGGCTATGACATCATTTGTAATAGCGAAAGCCCACCGCTAGCAGATACTGTCCGTTTTGGCTCGTTACGTATCGCCGTCAGCCTCACGGTTTTAAAACGTGTCTGTTAGGGAGAAGTTTCTATACCCTTATAAGGAATGTTTCGTTCCCCTCTCCAACCAATGTGAGATCTCACAATCCACCCCTTTTAGAGGTCCAGCGTCCTCTCTAGCACACGGTCCGATGACTGGCTTTGATACCATTTGTAAGAGCTAAAACCCACTGCTAGCAGATATTGTCCGCTTTGGCCCGTTACGTATCGTCGTCAGACTCATGGTTTTAAAACATGTTTGCTAGTGAAGGTTTCCACACCTTTATAAAAAATATTTCGTTCTCCTCTCCAACTAATGTGGGATCTGACAATCCACCGCTTAGGGGCCAACATCCTCACAAGCACACCATCCAGTGACTAGGTGGTAACAGCCAAAGATCACCACTAACAGATATTGTCCGCTTTGGTTCGTTACGTATCGTCGTCAGTCTCACGGTTTTAACACATATCTGCTAGTGGAGGTTTCCATACCTTTACAAGGAATGTTTTGTTCTCCTCTCCAACCCATGTGAGATCTGACAATCCACCCCCTTAGAGGCCAACATCCTCACTAGCACACCATCCGATGACTAGGTCTGATACCATTTGTAACGGCCAAAGCCCACCACTAACAGATATTGTTCACTTTGGCCCGTTATGTATCACCTTAGCCTCACAGTCTTAAAATGTGTCGGCTAGGGAGAGATTTTCACACTCTTATAAAAAATGTTTAGTTCCCATATATGTATATATAGCTAAAACAATATAAAATCTAACCTCGTATATAGATTGACCAGTACCAGATATGACATCGATTACACCTTCGATGTAGCATTCGGTGTATCGATGACGACCAGGTCCGTCCCACAAAGTATCTTGCAGACCATAAAAGCCACACTGATGGAAGACTGCTTTATCTCCGTCTACAAAAGCTGCCAGTGCTGGTTTTATATCATTACGTGACGTCACACTTCCCGGCGCATTATAAGTATTCTGACAATTTCATTTACGCTCCATGTTCAAGATTCAAAATTTAAATTCAATACTTGAATTAATTCTCGTCGGAACTCGTACCTTAAACGAGATGCCTCGTACCACGAGATTTACTGCAGAAAAAGTGAAGGTTGCACTTGAAGCTGTGGTTTCATGGTCATTCCATTGAATTTCAGTGAGATTTCTATCAACCCCATCTAGAAAGATGCATGGTTTTTCGGGGGGAATTCTCACCTTTTCCCTGTAATTTACGGTATATTGTTACCACTAGTAAATATTGTCCGTTTTGGCCCATTACATATCACTATCAGTTTTACGGTTTTAAAATGCGTCTATCAAGAAAAGTTTCCACATCCTTACAAGGAATGTTTTATTCCTCTCTCCGACTGACATGAGATTTCACACGTTTAAATAAAAAAAATTAGACTTTTTAACCACCCAACATAAACGAAGAAAGGTAAATAAATAAAATGATATCTTACCGATATACGCCAGGAGAGATTAGAATTCTAATCCATCGATTATTTTGCGGAGGGATCGAATCAATGGCACTTTGGATTGTTTTGAAATTTCCCGACCCTAATTGATGAACAAAAATAGTACGTGCAACTCTATTCGGATCTTTAAAATTCAACTCACAATCCAATGCTTTTGAAACATTGAGACAAAGTAACAACAACAACGTTGTTATTAACAAAATTCTGTCATTGTAATGTTCCATTTTTCTTGGAACAAACAAATTAAAAGACCCTTCACAAAAAAAAAAAAGTTGTGTTTTTTATAACATATATATACACACACAATAAACGTTTTGAATCAGAGACCAGATTTTGTTTTTACATGCTTTCCTTTATGAGCATGTGAATTTTGTAATTGTTTTGGGTGAAACATTTTGAATATCATTGAATTATAAATTCGGAAAAGGTAACTGACATATGTATGACACCTTAAATATACTAAATCTAATTCAATCATTTAGATATCCTACTTGTCGGTATTAGTTGTAAAGAATGATGATGTAATACCGATCGAACGCCCACGACCGGCCGACAAGGAGTTGGTCAAACGAACGAAGGTCGAGTTTGTGGATGGAGCTGAAAAATGGGAGCTTTTAGCTCGAGTTGGAGCTTGATATAATCACTCGAGAGGAGTTTCTTTGCAAATCTATGGAGTTGATTAGGGGAGAAGGAAGCTTGAACGCGAGATCTAAGGAATTGAATTTTGGGTAACGACCACGAGCAATCATAGACTGAATCGATGTCTGAAATTTGCTGAAGAAGGAAATCCATTTGAGTTTGTGTTAAGTACAACTTTTATGAAGTCAAGAGCAATCGTAGACTGAATCGAGGTGGAGAGTGCCACAAAGTTCTAGATATCGAACTCTGGTGAACTAGATCATCCTGTGAAGTTAAGAGTAATCACTAAGGAATAATAAATAGCTAATTAGATCATGCTAGAATCTCGAGATAATACTAAGGAGTTAGATGAGCTCCAACGAGCTAAATGATGAGAACCAATGAAATGAAAACGACTTTAATAGGGCTACATAATAAGAACCTACGAAATAAAAGAATGAGAATCCTGAGTTGAGTTTGGATACGTAAACTTGTAGAACCTGG